TCATCATCATCATCATCAACGACAGCATGACATCAGTGCTCAACACCAATGCTTCACTGCCGTACAGCCATGACTTATTTGAAAGCCTTATTGTAAAGAAAAGAATAAAGGTGGATGGGGGAGGGACTTAGTGCTAGCTTAACACAATCATTCCGAGGTGCCTACACCTCCAGACATTCATTCAGGCAATCTGGACAGAAACTGACAACAAGAACGCCACTGACATCGGTTGGCAGCCATATCTTGTAGTGTCTCCAACCAGGCACAGTGAGGATCACGCGGTCCCCATCCTGGGAGCCGAGCAACACCGATCTCCTTCATACTCCCCTGCCAAGTCAAGGGTTGGCCACCTCTGTTCACGTCACTCTGAGTTGGGCATGGAAAACAGCACTCTTTTCGGCAACACATGTCCCACCCAACGCAGCTTCTGGTGCTGGACACATTCTTCAATGGAAGTACCCGTTACACAACCGAAAACACGCTTTCTAACTGCCTCGTTACGGATTCGCTGACACCAACCCACACGAGCTATGGTTCTGAGACAACGATTGTCGAACACCTGAAGACGTCTCAGGTCCGCTGCTCGAATAGGCCAAGTCTCACAGCCATACCCAGACTAGCTCTAGGTCCTCCTCTCTCCGCCATCATTTTCTTCCTTCGATTCCAAAGCTTCCTTGAAATAAACTGACGTAGTTGAAAGACAGTGGAGCAGCAACCTTCTGATGCGCCTATCAGTGCTGATCAGGTTGACGAGCTTCCAGCGTCACGCCTCGAACCCTGCAGGTTCTGCAGTGCGTACTTCGTGAGCACGAAGTACATGCAGAAGAACTGGATGACCGTTGGTCCGCCTTTGCAACAGTGATTGCGCTTCCGGCTTTCACAAATGAGAACAGTGTTGTCTGCATACACCAGGTCAATAAAGCTTTCGCTGGAATAAATACCATTAACAGGGTTTAAGAGCCTTTCCAGGGTCCGCCTAAAGAAGCATCGTCGACGAAATTAATCGAAATTTCAAGAGTGGACAAATTTATTGGATGCCACTACTTATAAGAAAGTTTTTAGGGAGCTTCCCATACACTTTCACGCACTCACAAATATGTAAGTACAACAGCACCTTCTATTCACGAATTTCTGGGACACCCTTTTGCACAAAAATATTGAAAATAACAAGCCGGTCGACATTCGAACACATTCTTGGAGTCAAAAGACACTAAGATTGTAGATGCATGTAGGTGCGCTAACACCTGAAAGTTTGCGGCCCACATTGCTTATTCCCGAGCTAAATTCTGATTTCTGATTTCGGGTCTGGTCCTCGCGTACTCTCGTAAGACGAAATGGAAGACGCGGAAGCCAACGGGAGTCAAGCAGATTCTCCTGTGATGGCCACATTACATACAGGCACCGTTTTTGATAGTGAGCAGTATTGTCGACTCATGCCAGTTGGTTGGGACGGTCTGTTCCGCCCAGGTGTGGGTAAACAATGTAAACCTTGTTTACCCATACCTTATCTATGGACGAACACCACGGATTCATGGATTGATAAAAAAAATCGAGGCTTTCGCCCAAGCCTGCTGTATATGATCAATTGAGGATTTTATCTCCATCTTTGAAAAGTTCGGGGGGAAGTTCGTCAGGACCAACTCCATGGCCCATGATGGACGGAGAATGGCGGTGAAGCATTAGCTCGACTCTCGATTTCTGTCTTCCAAAGTGGATTTATTAGGCAAAAGAACCATCAAAGTTGCACGAAGTGCATTAAACGCCCTAAATCATCCACAGCGGAAACCAAATCGTGGTTAGCCGTCGCGATCGCATTTCCGGCTAATCGGAATTCAAGTTCATACTGAACCAGCAAGCGCTCCCTCTTCTGACCAATCACACGTGGGTTGGGCTTTTATCAGTCCCCAACCGTGAACGGCAAAGCGGTTCTGGCGCGGGATTCCTACTAACAGGTCCCTCTTGAAGTTTTTTGGCGTAGTTTCGAAGTCGGGGGTTAGCCTGCAACGACCAGTGTTGTTTCTGATCTACGTCAACGACCTCCCAGATGTTCTTGCAAGTCCATGTCTACTTTTTGTGGACGACTTGAAATCCTGGATTTCCAATGCCAGTGCCCTCCAAATGGATGTAGACGCTGCCGAGCAGTGGTCGTTGGGCTGGCACCTTCCTCTGAATGACAAAAAGTGCGTCCATATGTCGTTTGGAGGAGACTCAGCAAATGCCTCTGTTATGCATGGTGAGAAAGGGCCAGAAAACATCACGAGGATAGATGCCAAAAAGGATTTTGGGCATCTGGGTCTCCTCAAACTTGTCCCTCTCACTGCACCATGAGAAATCGACCCAAAAGGCATTCGCCATTTTACGGATGATCCGACGCACCTCCCGTATTACTCGCATGGACTTCCAAATACTCTATGGGGCCTACGTCAGACCGCTCCTGGAGTACGCCAACCAAGTTGTCTACTCGGGACGCAGAAAGACGTCACCCTCATTGAGCGTGTCCAACGAGCCGCTACGAGAATGGTCGCTGGCCTCAAATCCGTGGACTGCGGAACGGGTCTCGCGATGCTTGAGCTTTTTCCCCTGGATTACCGTCGCGTCCGAGGAGATCTAATTCTTAATTATGACTTGTTTGAACAAAGCTTGGAAAACAGGTTTTTTACCGTTGAACCAGCAAACATCCAGCGGGGACACAGTAAGAAGATTTTCAAGCTCAAAGCACACATTCATTGGACGAAATTTTCTCTCATTTTGGGTAGTAGATGCGTGGAATGACCTTCCTCCGGCGGTTGTTGACGCTCCTTCTAAAACCCACTTTAAAGCACTATTAGACATTTATTTATGCGAATCCTCGCGCTGGCAAGCATACTGCTTTGCGTTGAAAACATAAAGAGCAGTGCTACACCCTTTATTCACTTGTACCTTTCAGGTGAACGACAGCCACGGACCGACAAGGACAAAACCGACCCGGGAAACTTGGGCACAACCTCGACCCCGTGTATCAGTCCGTGAATCCGTGACTTCACCGGCTTGCAGAATCAAATTTTTAACGAAGGCCTGGACTGCTTCTCTAACAAAGCAGCCGACGGATGATTTCCGCAATCTTTCCGAGATCAGAGGTGCCCAGAAACAACCCTAGGCTTAAGCCCTAGGTAGGGGAGACAAGATCTGCGATTTCACAGCCCATGGTTGATCTGTTCTTTGGGTCAACCCGGTAGAACCGATTTTAATCTCATGTAGTGATCTGCCTTGCCGGCGAATGTATGTCCTTGAATCCAACAAGGACATCTGCCGCTGTGGCCACCGACCAACACACTTCGGCCTTCGCCTAAACAGCGCTGAGCCGTAGTGACGGCTGGACTGTTCCATCATTCTATTATTGCGGTAGCTCAATACCTTATCCATGGCCGGATAGTGTCATCCCTTTTTTCACTTCTACTTTTCAGGGGAACGACAGCCACTGAACGATAAGAGCAAAACCGACCCGGGAAACTTGGGCTAAAACCTCGATCCTGTGTATCAATCCGTGTTCGAGGCTTCGGCCGAAGCGGTACCTCATGGTGGAACCCCACCAGCCGAAGTGGCTTTTGAAGTCGCCCGATATTCCGCTAGAAACCTCTAAAAATTTTCATGTAGATTTCCTGTTCTGAACTATGGAACTACACGATTGAGGGTACCAGCGGAGTGTTTTGCATGATCGTTTGATTGTGGACAAAAGTTGGAAGCATGATGGTATCCTTCCGACCATATTAACAGGTGAGTAGCTAGTTCAGTGGGCCTCGGGGTTGTTGTGTTGCAGAAACGGGCTAGAGCGACGCGACCAACGAGGGACCTGTGGGATATCATGTTGGTGGGTACTGGCCCCTTCTCGATGGCTGCGATGCCCTCTGAATCTGGTGGACGGTCGTACTGGTCAATGGCTGATTCGGGCTACTTGGCAACCCCAAGATTGAGGTGTGGTTTTCTCAGCGCATTATGAAAACTTATTCTTGATTGGGACCAGACAAATAAACAGGGCGTTGCCCTTCTCGATTGCAACCTATGGCGATGACATCGCTCAAAAACACGAGAAAACCGGTGGTGCTTTTTGTATGCGCCATCACGAAGTGACTCCAAAAGGTGAAATCGACTTCAAATTTTTCCATCACCAAGTTGGACCACGGTTTGTGGGGTGAACGGTTTTACGATGGTGGTTGTGGCATGCGAATTCTGCTTCGATATAAAAGAATGAACTTAGCATATTTTTACCGGCCGAACCGGCAATGACGGGTGTAGTACAAATCTCTACAAGTCCGTATACTTGTGGTGTGCTTACTCCGATTTCAACCAGGCTTGTTCTAAGATTTCCTTGGGAAGTTGATCTTCATTTTGCGAACAACTGGGATTAATGCGTTGTGGATCGAAAGAGAGCACTGTCGCTGAGTTTGATGAGGCGTTGGCCTTAGGTGGTGAGATGCATCAGCATCTTCTTCACTAATACGAGTCGGCCGACTTTTGAGGTCCGCAATTTGGGATGAGACTGGACACAAAAATGAGACACTTGATCTAGTTCTCCGTCCTTGTACTGAGCTTAAAGCACTCATATTCCTGATTAACATCACCTAAAAACGTGAAACCGCCATCAAGTTTCTTGGCTAACTTGAAACATGGGCAAAAGTTATGGAAAGCTGGTGTTTGATCCCAAAACCATCTGCTAATTTTCCGTGTGGTTCATTACGGCTGAATTTTTGAAGCGCTTTGGGATGAATTTTATATTCCGTTGACGATCAGGTGTTTCGGCTTTTTGCAGTAATGATCCAAGTTTTTACTCCTAAGCAAACTTTAGGAGATCAATTTCGGAACATTTTTAGTGCCGCTTGTACCAGGGGTCTGAGCTGTGAAAAGGGAGGAGTCAAGTGAGAACAACCTGACTTAGGCCCCGACTGCCTTGGCTGAAGGAACAAAAGGCTCACTACCACTTTCTGTGTTTCGAGTCATGCAACTTCTGGCTCTATGTTACGATGCGCTTCGTTTATGTCATTTCAAGTCAATTTTATTTCTGTTGCAGCACTTCTCGAGGCAGATTAAATTCAATATATATAGTGAGTTTCCGTTTGCCAATTTGTGAGAATTGAGTTTCGGACGTATATCGGAATAAACAGACGAACTAGAAATCCAGAATTCAGATCAGCGCAACAAGAAGCACGTATGTATTCGAATTGGCGTATAGGTACAGCATAGGGAATAGTAAAACAAAAGAATAATGAATAGAGCAATGAATAGAAGTTCAGTCATGTTCATCACATCCGCCACACCTTGAATGAGCGTGTGGATCTTTACAATCC